ATTCATGAGCTTAGACTGCCCAGTAGAGGTGGTCTCAAGAGTTCAAACTCATGGATTTTGTCTGTGGAATAATCAAACACCAGGTAAATTGAGGAGGAATTATAGAAAATGTCGAGCAAAACCCTTTTTACTTGATAAATAATATGCAAATTTTCAACTAACTATAAAGAAATGAAGTGTCTTGCCTAAAGTAAATTGTTGATGGCTTGTTGGGAATGGATGGCACTTCATTCTACTGATGACATGTTCAAAAGACAGCCATGCATTTTATGGTCTCTGCTGCAATTTGCAAAAAGTTACAAGTAATGCAGCACCCATGAAGCTGGTTACCCAGGTCGATAGAGAACTACAAAATAATTACTCCCATCTTCGCTCTCTTTCATCTAAGCTAGAAAATTGTATTTCAGGAAGCAACCAAGTAGCCCAACTCAACCGGAGATGGAAGAGATAAGAAGTCAAAACTCACAACTACGTAACTGGATTGTGCGTGCTTAGCCACAGTTGACCACAATTCTTCTCTTCTATATGATTCATGTAGTAACTACATGGATATCAAGAACCTTGAGAACTGCTAGGGGAGAGAAGGCCAATTTCAGCAAGTGAGCAAGCAGCCCACCATGATAAAAGAGGCCAAGTTCGGCAACTTACATCCAGACCCATTTGGCAGGAAACGATCACACAGCATAAGAAACAAGAATCTAAAAACTAGCCACAAATATCCAGAATACAAAACACGGTAAACAGAACTAACCATAAATTTCAGCAAAACATGGAAACTTAAAAAGCTTCCTCCATTCTTTTGGAAGGAAATCGGTGACATCTCTCTATTCCAATTATGTTTAAACCATAACACAGCAGCAGACCTATACCGGTCTTTTAGCAAGTACCCAACAACAGTACCTTCCACAAATTCTCTTCCCCAAAAAAGGGTTCATAAGTGCCAAAATAACACCCTCATCACAAGATTCCCTCATTACCACACCAACTCACATACCCCCGTTCTCTTTCTAAACCCACCACACACACACTCGAACACACATATCAAGATCTCAACTGAAGCATCATTTCATAGGTCCCACGTTCACAGAACCTGTACTAAAAACCACCCGACTTTCTCTAGCATTGAAACAGACAACACAAAAAACAACATATAAATACACCGAAGATCCAAACTTAAAACCTAAAACAAGAACAAAAACCAATTAAGCTCAAAAGGCTATCTATAAAAATGTCAAGTTTCTCACCAAGATTCAAACTTTGAGCACAAAAAACACTTTAGCTCAAAAGGGAATAAATAAATTTGACGAACTTCTCCGTTCCTTACCTAAATTCTCCAGCTCAAACTTGGCCTTGCTCACTGGCTTTATTTTCTTTTGCTTCACAACTGAGAAATCAATCACCGGAGGAGATGGTGCGGGAGCCGCAGACGAAATCGGCTTCGGAGACAAAGCCATGGTGACACACCCGTCTGGACCATACTTTCTAGGCCTCCCTCTCTTCTTCTTCAATGGCATAGTCGCCGCCGCGGAAGACGGGAGGGGAGGTGGAGCTTGCGGCGGAGCAGGTGGCGCAGATCCAGTTGTTGAATTCGGGTTGCTGTCGGACCTAGGAGCGATTTGGTAATTTGAAGGAGCATCGGATGCCACCACTGTAACCCCCCCGCCACCACTAGGACTACTCACAGTTGTTTCCATGCTTAAACCCTTTAAAAGAGATTTTTCTTTTATGAAAGTCTTTCCTAAAAACTCATTTTGATTTTGAGCTCAAATCATCTCAAAATATTATAAAAGTTCAGATTTTTATTGAAAATTAAACCTAAAAAAATCATCCTTTTCAATAGGAAAAAAACAAGCTCCAAGATTTAAAACCCAGAAAGGAACAAAAAATGAAAGGAAAGCTGAGTATGAGGTAGAAGAGAGAGCTTTTTACAGGAGAAATTAATCTTGAAAGAGAAAAGAAAAAAAATCGCACTTTTTTTAGCTTAATTTTTTAGATTAGAGAGCTCAGGTTAAGCAGAAACAGAACTTAACTGAGGTTTTAAGACAAAAAAAGCACAAGGAAAAGAAAAATTGTGTTATAAATTTTTATTCTTTTTTAGGAGTAAAGAGAGCGAGGAGAGGAGAAGGAAAGATTGGATTTAAGCTGCGAAAGTGAATTTTGATTTTTGAATTAGTGGGAGTGGTTTGGATTGGAAACTGGTTTTTTTTTTTCCTCTCTGTAATAAAAATAATAGAAAAGTTTGTTTTGTTTTTTAGTTCTTGTTGGGCCAATTTAGTTCTTAACCTTCCTCTGTCTGTCCGAAATATGATTATAAAAACAATAATAAAAATTAAAAATTGCAATTTGAAAGAATTTAATAACAAAAAAGAAAGGTGGCATTGATGGATATAAATGTGCGTGCGCGCGTAATGATCATCGTAGAATTGTATTTTATGATAGATTATAAAAGATATTGATGTTTTGGTTGGAATCTGGTGGAAAAATAAAGAAATAAATAAATAAAATAAAGTGGAAACTGGGAGGGGTTTTCCTTTCTCTTTCTCCATCTTCTCTTTTCATTATTTTTTTCTATTTTCGACAGAGAAAGGGACAAGGGATGGTATTATTGCCATCATTTTATTAGCAGTTTTCCTCTCTTTTGTTTAATTTTGAGTGAATGGCAAGTTAAATTAGGGTGCCAGGGATATTTAAAAAAAGAAATTGTCTAGAAAAGGGAAAAAGGAGATTGGCTCAAGGCAAACATGTCCTTATTTTTTATGGGGCCTGGTAAGCTTTTATCGGATACAGGCAAAAACATGAAAAATGGCTTCATCGATGGAAAAGGAGAGAGCACAGTGATGCAAACCTTTGCTTATGCAAAATGGCGTTCATTCTCTTGCTCTTGTATTGTTCCCTTTGCCTGTCCATGATGATGCTGCCGTGAAAAGGATTGATGATGAAAGCTGTTCTCATGGATTGGCCATGCATCCTGGTGAATGGGGAGTGCGCAGCTAGATCTTCAACTGCTTACTCATTTGCCTCTCTCTTTTTTCAGCTGGACCCTACTTCAAAATCAAATAATAAGCAAAACTCTCTTCTTCTTCTTTTAATTTTAGGGTTCTTTTCTTTTTATTCTATGAGTGTGTGATGTTCCAGTTTTCGAAGATGTACCAAAGCATTTTTGTCCTGGGTGCGACGAACCGATGCTCAAAAATGCATTGATAAGCCTATAATTCAATTGTTTATTTGTATCAAACTGTATTTTTGACCGAATTTAAGATTATTATTTTTTAGCAGAATCTAATTTAACATCTCACTAGTTTATTTTTATGTTTTAAAAATATTTTTTAAAAAAATAAAAAAATTAATTTTTTATTTACTGAAAATTAATATATTTTTAATATTTTCAAATTAAAAATAACTTTTTTAAAACTTAAAAATTATTAATATGTATTTTTACATAAAAAATTATTTAAAAAAAAATTATAAACATACTTTTAAAATAGTTGAATCCATCTCTTCACTATTTTATTTTTTATTTTTTGCCAGGAGGTTTACTACGTATCTTATTACTTAGGAGTTAAGACCATGCGGTCTTTTTTATTTTACAGAAAGAAATTCGCCCAACTCTTTCTTTACAGGGAAATATCACCATCCTCTTTTTTCCTTTCTTTTTTATTGAGACAAAAGCTAAACAGAGTTTATTATCTTGCACTTATTACATAAAATCATTAACTTGATTTGATGGGTAATGTGTTATTTTATTTTCTATTGGATCAAATTGCCGTTGCCAAATTCGCCGAAGGCATCTGATCATCTCACATTTTATTTACATGGTAAAATTATTAAATAAAGTTTAAAAGCAAATTTTATTTAACTTAGTTTAAGGGGTATTTTTAGAAATTTAATTTAATTTGAGACTTTAAAAAACTAAATTAACCTTAAATTCAAAAAGTATTAGGCCTGCTTTAAAGGGTTTTTTTGCCATTTTATTTAGGTTTTTTGTGTAACTAATGAAGAGTTTTATGAGTAATTCATTATGAGGAGTTTTAAAATCGTTAATGCATGTTAATATATAAGGCTCCCTCGCTATTTGAGTGGAGTATGTGGTACCTCTCGATAGCTAAAAAGAAGCAAATGACATGTCGCTCAAAGCATCCAGTGGCGATATATTTTATGAGGCGCAATGCACGTAATGGGATTTATGATAATTTAGCGGTGGTTGATTTTTATTTTTTTCTTTTCTTTCTCCTGACCCAGCTAAATTTTAATTGTCATCTTTTTTTTTTAACTATAATCTTTACTTTTTTTATTGTTCTTTATTTATCTTAGATTTTAATTTGATTGGTTTGTTTTTTAATTTTATTTGTTAATATTTAGTTTTTTTTATTGTTTTTATTTTTTATGTTTTTTTATCAAATTTAATTTTAAATTTTATCACTCAATATTTTATTTTTATATCAAATTGATTGTTATTTATTTAGCTATTTTTTTAATTTTATTTTTTAATATTAAATTAATTATAAATTCAGCTTTATTATTTTTTTATACGATGATTTCAATCTTATGGTTTTAGTCACAAATATAAAATATTAGCTTCAATAAATATCGAATATTTTTAAGAATATTTTTTATATTATTAAAAAAAATTATCCTTTATCATTAGGTTTTTTTAAGATTAAACTTCTTTATTTTTTTTTAAAGATTTTGCTTTAGAAGACACCAACGGTGCTTCATTGTCATTAAGTTGCATAAAAAAATTTACCTAATTTATGACAAAACAAGTCTTGAGCCAAACCACTTTGTACGACCAACATTGGACGAGGGTGCACAGGCCACTTATCTACTAAGATGCATGTGGGTTTTTTCCTTTTCTTGAAGAGGCTGAGATCAAACTAATTTATTTTTCTCTTGGTTAACTACTACTAAAAGCTTGTTTGTTTTTTAATTTCAAAATCACTTATAAAAAAATTTGTTTTTTTGTTTTAAATCAATAATTTTTTTATGTTTTTAAATATTTTGATATATTAATATTAAAAATAATTTTTAAAAAATAAAAAAAAAATATTATTTAAATAAAAAATATTTTAAAAAATAATCTTCACTTCGTCCTATACTTCCACACATGACTTGAAAAGGAAACAAAAAACACAACTACACCCTTTGTCGCGCCTACTCTAAAAACCTTTGGGTAAAATTATTGCTGACATTATTTCGTTTCCTTACCAAACGTTAACTACTTTTGTACCGTTTACTGGTATTCGAAATATATATCTATATAGACACGCATTAACTATTTTACCCTTGATTTGCTCACATTATTTCTTTTTCATTACAGGAATTGAGCTGCCCCTCTTTCTGTTCTCTAATCATAAATTGAAAAATAATATAAATAGATTTTTGTAATAAAAATGATTTTTTAAAAATATAAAGAGACATACAATGTATAAATTATGTTATTTTTAAAGATTGAGGATTTAAGTGTATTTTTCATAAAATCTCAAGCACACCATCCATATTTGGTATTTTTTTCATTTTGGTCCCTCTTGTCTCAGTTTCATTCTTGCCTGATAAATCAAAAGTAATTAGCTTTAATATAATTAAATTGTTCAAAATAAACTATTAAAAAATAAAAAAAAAATTATTCCATAGTAAAACCACATCTTTTATTATTTTGAATATATATATATACGTGAGATAGGAAAAATAGAAGGGATCACATATCATAAAATTAGTTTATTCCTCTTTCACGGGACCACAACATATGACCTTTTTAAAGAAATGCTATTAACGACAGCTTTAATATTCACAAACAAAACTAAAAAGCATCTTTTCTGAGCAAGGGTTAAATTATTAGTTAGCAAAAACAAGAAAAATATATAAACTAACCACCTGTAGATAAGAACCAATTAATTATTAAATTGCTTGAGCATTTGAATAAATATGGTGATGACCTCGATGCATATTAACTTCCACAACTTTCTTTTTTTATCTATTTTTATTTCTTTTTGCATGCTTATATACTAATATTTTAATTATTGGTCGGTAATCGGACCTAACTTGTGCATTAATTTAAGTAATGGGATAGAGAAAACTTGAATTAACAATAAGAAAAATCTCCAAATTTGATATAAATAAATTACCACTTGAAGTTAGTGGTGCTTATATTGCACGTCCATGTCAAAAAATGGAATCTCATGGAGATGGAACATAAATCAATAACTTTTTCGTTAAAAAGAAATAAAAAAAAACTTTTTTTTTTTTGCTTTCTGTCTTTATAATTATAAAAAAATGATTTTTATTTTCTTCGATGCCGGCTCTCCATTTAATGTGGGTTCTTGGCTTGACAAAATCGCAATTTTTGGAAAAATATTCACTGGCAATATTAGTCAAATCTAACCTAATTTCACTGACATTGTTGCCATGTTTAAACAAGCTTGTGTTTTGGAAGTATAGTCAGTATGAGTTGAAATATCAGTCAAATGAGTTGTTGCAATCTAGGTTAGATCTTGAATAATTTTTATTTTTTTTACTCTGGTTTAATAAATGGAGAAAGAGAGGGATTCAAGGTTTTTATTTTTTTCTGAATAAAAAATCAGATATCATGACGGGTTTCTTTGCAGGATATTCATGCAGTGATCAAGTCCTTTGGACCATGGCAAGGGTCATTTCATGCTCTTTCTGCATCGTTTGGTTCATCATCCTCTTGGCATGATTCATGGCGGCAGGGCTCTTCAGCCAAAGCTTGATGGTTCATTAACAGCCCAAGTTTGTTAGAAACATCATTAATTTTGCGATTCTTTTTATTTTATATTTGGTGAAGATCCTT